GCACTGTGATGGCACCGGAGTGACAGACCCCATCCCACTGTGGCACCCGAGCAGGTGGCAGCGTGGGACAGCATGTCCCAGGTGCTGGAATCTCCAAAATCAGGCACCGGTGCCCAAGTTGGACGCTCCACAGGGGATGTGGGCAGGTGGGGAAATGGAGGCAAGAGGTGAAGCCCTTTGCTGAAGGGGTTTCAGGCTGGGACCTGCCTGGGTGCTCCCACTGCCACCTGTACCAGGGTGAGACCCCAAGCCAGCTGCTGTGGGGGGACAGGGAAGCCCTTTCCCAAAAACGGTTGCCACAGAAGTGACACGGCCACATCCTCCCCGTGGGTGGCAGGGGAGCAGGGGACACTCTCCTCAGGGGTGAGCCCCGGCCTGCAGCAGCCCCAGCGCAAGGGTGGATTATCCCGAGCTCCAGCCAGAGCGGGAACCCAGGCACAGGCAGATTAAGTGACCCATGGGAAGGGTCAGGGAGTGGGTCAGATGCACCCTGAGCCCCCGGTCTGGCTGCCCCAGGGGCTCAGAGCAGGGGGGCCCCCCAGCCCCAAACCACCCCCGCCCTGGCCCCTGATTGCAGCATGTCCGGCTGGGCCCTGGGACCAGCTGCCATTTCTCCTGCGGTTTGGGCCAGAAATAGGGTGATGGAGCAACGCTGCCCTTGCCCAATGCTGCGGTGGGGGCGGGGGGCTCTGCTGACAAAGGCCCTGCTCCCTGCGCCGCTCTTTTCTTTTTTTTTTTTCCCCTTTTAAATAAACCCTGTTAGTTCAGCTGTGCTGAGAGGGGAGGCGGCCGCCACCTCCGCAGCCCTTGAGTCAGCCCGGGGGGCTGGGGCATGGAGGGAACAGGGCTCTGGGGGAGCCAGGGGTGGGGGGAACTGAGGCTCTGGGGGGGTCAAGGCATGGGGGAAATGGGGCTTTGGAGGGGACATCACCAGGTGATGCCCAGGCTGCGGGGAGCCAGCCCAGTTCCCAAGAGAAGGGGTGTCAGGGGCACAGTCCAGCTGGGTGAAGGTCCTGGCTGAGCACCTGGAGCAGGATGGATGTGTCCCCTGTCCCTCAACCTCATTAATCATCCTGGGTCTTGTCTGGAGAAATGGTTTCACGGGTGCCCAGATGCCGGGACCAGCACCTGTGAGCACCCAGGCGTCTGGCTGGGGGAGGCACTCGGCGGCTAAGCCGCTCTCGCCGAGAAGTCCCTGACCTCTGGCCAGGGATCTGGTGGGATTACAGCCCCGGGAATGCTCCCTGAGCACTATGAGCCAATTACTGTGCCGGATCCCTGGCTGGGGAGCACCCCACGGCAGGCTGGGCAGTGGTGCAGGGTGAGAGGGGCAATGGCTGTGTGGGGTGAGGGGGGAGGACGCAGCTCTCCTCCTGGGAGGGGTCCACTGGTGACTCCCCCACTGCACCCAAAGTCCTGTCCTTCTCAGGTCCCCTTCTTGCCTGTGTTATCTGCTGCTGGCCTGGCCAGGCACCGCAATCACCTCCCCGGCACAGCAGCGCCCAACCGGGGGCCCCAGAGCACTCCCCCTTATCTGGAAGCCAAACTGCCTCTGGGTGGGGGGCAGTGGCCCCCGGCCGTGTGATGACACTCGGGTCCCCCCTCCCCGCACAGGGGCCCCCTCACCCTCCCCGGGGGCGGCTCATCCGCTCGGCTGGCTAATGCAATAAAGCTCTAATCAATATTTTAAAGAAAGTAAATGGACCCTCCCGCCCTCGTTAAGAGGCCACGGGGCCCCTGCTCAGGCCCCACGCCCCCAGCTGGCTTTGGGCTTTGAAAAGGAGAATAATCCACGGGAGAAAGGGGTTCAGAGGGGATCCCCCATGCTTTAACCAGCTCCTGGGGATTCAGAGGAGGTATGTATGGGCTCTCTGCTCCTCCAGATCCTCCTGGAAAATCCCAGCTCCACCAGCCATGTGTGCGGGGCTGGTCTGGGTGGAGGGGGGGTCCGGTTTCACCCACCCCCGCAGCCCTGCCGAGGTCGCCGAGTTGCTTTCGGTTTATTTTTCCCTCACCACTGCACTTTGAAACGCCGTATCTCGGGGTGCGCTGCACCACGCGAGATAAGGGCTGAGGTTTTTGCGCCCGTGTGCCACCAGCATGGCTCAGATGTCCCCAACACAAGAAACCTCCTGCCCCACTGAAGCACCAGCACCCCCCAAACCCCCCCCAGCCGGCACAGCCTCCCACTGGCACTGTGGTGACTCTTTAAATCCTTCCTGAAGCAGAAATCGGGGGTTAAACATCAGTCTGAGGCAGCCACTGCAGGACATCCCAAAAGGGAGCACCCAAAATGGAGAACCCCAGAGGGAGAGTGCTGGCTGCTGCAGCCAGATGAACACAGGGAGATGGATTCCTCCAGTTCCTGTGATGTGGGAAGGGGTACTGGCGTGCAGGGTGCCCACGCCTGAGGGAGCACCAGCAGCACAAGACACTCCAAAAGAGGTAGAGACCAGAAACTCCAGCTCCAGGGGCTGCCACTACACCAGGAGCTCCCACTCCCGGTATTAGCGGGGAGCAGTAATAGCAATAACGAAACAGAAAGGTCAGAGGAGGTATCTTGGGGGGGGCAGCAGCAGCAGAACCCCCACAGTGCTGGGGGCACAGAACTCAGAACAGTTTTATCTCCAGCAGCCCCTTGCTGGCAGGAGCCTGCTGGATTTTTAACCATTTCCCGTGGGGAGCCTCTTCCCACCCAGAAAATGCCCCCTTTCCCCCTCAGCCCAAGGAGCCACGGTGCCCTCGGTAAGCGCTGCCCCCGAGTTCCCCGTTGCGCCGGGGGCTCCTTTGTTCTGCTGCCCGCGCCGGCAGCGCCTGGGTCAGGCCGAGCTGACCTCTGCCTGTGCAGTAGCCGTCCCTGGGGATGGGGAGGTGCCACGCGCCGGCTCCCTAACCTCCCTCACCTCCATAACTCTTCCTCACGCCCTCCCCTTCCTCCTCCCTTGAACTGGGCCCCCTCCTCCTCCCTCCGGCCCCCCACGGCTCAGCCGAGCACCGGTTCACAGGAATCTGTCCCAGATGGGTCAATAAAACCTGGCAGTGGAGGATGGGGGCAGCCCCCGGCTGCCGGGGTTTGGGTGTGGAGACCCGCACAGGGCTTGCGTGGTGGCACAGCCTGGTGAGAACCTTGTTCTCAAGGACAGAGACCCACGGGCCAAGGATGCCGGCAGCACCAGCACAACCAGAGCTGAATCCAGACTGGATCCAAACTCCCAGCAGGGAGAGCTGGACAGCTGGGGAAGCATCAGAGCTGGTGAGAGAGCAGGGGTCCTGCTGGTGCCGAGGAGCTCCTTGGGCCCCAAAAGAGCCCATTCCTCACAGAGCAGGCAGTCAGAACACTGGCACAGCCACGCACAGCACCACGTCCCTGCCGGCTCACCCACGCAGGGACCCTGCTGTGGTCGGGCACCCCGGAGCTGCCGGGGTTCCCTCTAAGGCGCCTCCACCCCAGCAAGGAGCGGGGATGGGGTACGGCATCCCCTGCCCCGTGCTGCCCTCGCTGTTTACATTCCTGCTGCTTCTTCCCAGGCCGCGCCAGCTGGGCTGGGATGGAGCCCAGCGGCACGCGCTGGAGGCCAGCCAGGAGGAGCTCCCGGCCAGCACCGGCTGCGCCAGCAACCCCCTGGCCCCGGTCCAGCGGCCGCGATCCAAGCGCGGTCGCGCGGGCTGACGTGCCGGGGAAAGCCTCTCCGGGCCCAGCGCGTCGCCTCCGCTCCTCCGCCCACGGAGGCTTTCCAACCCCCTCCGGCTGCTTCCACCGTTCACCACCGAGCCAGGCTCTTCCCAGTGACTCCGGGAAGCGACACGGAGGGAGAGGGGGTGCTCAGGGAGACGGGGCACAGCTTGGGGGGCAGAGGAAGTGCTGGGAATGGGGCTGGTGTTCCCAAGTGCCGTGGCTGTGATAGGGGACCTGGCAGAGGCTATGGCCTGGACCACGGCACTGACATGCTGACAAACAGGAAGATCAGAGCTGCGGTATTGAAAAGTCTTTTCACAGCTACAACTTCATGGCCCTGGCCCCTCGCTCCCCGGCAGCAGGAAGCACAAGAGAGAGAAACCACAAGAAGAGAAGGTGGCGTGGGTGCAGCGGCATGAGGGGTGCACAGGAGCATCCTTCCACCCCTACAGCTGGACAGGAGCATCCCTCCATCACCACAGCTGGGCAGTGCCAGGATGGCCACATGCTCCGTGCTTGCTGGTGCTCCCTCCACCAGCCCTGTTCTGAGCCTGCCCACATCCAGATGTGCCGGTACATCCCAGCAGCCCCTTCCCCCATTTTGGAAGGGATGCGACAGCCTCCTGAAGGTGAAGGGGCAGAGGTGGTCGCATCCCTCCTGAAAGGCTACCGTGCCCTGGCCACTCCATCTGGGTCCCATCTGCTGCTGCTGGTCCTTCCCCTTCCCCCAGCCCTAAACTCCAATGTATTTAAGCACACATCAAAAGTGCCGAGTGGCCCCTGGGGAGCCCTGGCTGCAGCACGTTTTCTTCTATCAGTGAGAGCGCACTGCAGCCAGCTCTGGCGCTGGGAGAGTGGGAACACGCTGGCCTCGTTGTCTGACCCCCACCAAGCATCCATGGGGCCGGAGTTGTCCTGCCAGGCATCACCTCCGTAGTGATGGTGATGAGAGACAGGTCCTCATGAAAAATGGCTTTGGGAGAGTGGAGAAGAGACTCATCAGATTTGCAAGTTTGGGGTGATTTTTTCAAAATTTTCAGCAAGAATCCTGCCGGATCCCTGCGGCATACCCAGTCACGCTGTCTGCCTGGACAACCCGGACACAGGATCCACTCAGAGTCACCCAACCAGGGAGGGGGCGAGACTGAGGCCAGCAGTAAAACCCCAGAGAAATCCCATGCATTCCTAATGACAACAGCAGCTGGATCCGAGGAGAGCACTGCTGGAGGCAGCACTGCCGGAGGCATCTCCCCGCGCTCGCGAAGACACTCAAAGCAGGGAGAGGGAATGCACGGCAGGGACGCGTGTCTGGGTGGGCACATACCTGCTTGAACTGCTCCTCGTAGGTCCAGTCACCATGGTCAGGTGCCGGTGGCGGGGGCTGAGCATGGCCCAGGCCGGGGGGCAGCCGTTCCTGTCCCCCTGGCAGCCGTGGTGGCTCCCCCCGGTAGTGCTGGGGTGCTGGGGGCTTGCGGAGCAGCAGGGATCCTGTGCCTGCCCGCACCGCCTCTGCTGAGCTGAGCCCTTCCTCTCCCATGTCTTCTTCTTCCTCATAGTCTTCCTCCTCCTCCTCCTCTTCTTCTTCCTCTTCCTCCTCACCCAAGTCTTCTTCAAAGTCATCTTCATCCCATTTGCCCTTTCTGGAACCAGGGGGAGAGGAGAGGTTTGGTCCCACACTGGTTCCCAAGGCCCATCCCTCTCTCCTCCCTGCCCCACAGGCCCTCCCCAGCTGTGGGGCTGGGACCACATGCCCAGCACACAGTGGAGCCCGGTACAGCCCATTGGTGGGGGCAGCTCTGCGGGCACGGCCGGCCCCCGGCATCCCAGGAGCAGCTCCATCACAGAGCTCTGCCAGATGGCTCCTGGCCTGGCCCTGCCCTGACAGGATGCGTGCTGGAGGCAGCCAAGGGTCCTGCATAATTTAATGCCAGCCCAGGGTCCTCTGTCACAGCCCTATGTGGCTGCTGGGCAGAGATGGGACGTTGTGGCAACCTAGCACGAGGAATCACAGCCACAGAGCCGAGCCACTGCTCCCAGCATCTCCTGCTTTGAAATATCCCAGTAGCTCTAATCCACAACCCGCTCCAAGCCAGGGGACCCCCGCAGCCTTCCCAGCACGCTGTGCCCAAACCCACCAGCGTTGTGCCACTTCCCTGCCCCTTCCCCAAACTCATGAGAACTGCCCGAGTACACTCACAGGTCCTCCTCCTCCTCGGAGCCCATCTCCTGCTGGTACCCGCTGCCATCTTCCTCCTCCTCACCGCGCTCCTCCTCTTCCTCCTCCTCGGAGGCCTGGCTCTCATCCGACAGGCCGGGGCTGGGCGAGTGGCTGAGGCCAGCGGCGGCCGCCCGCATGGCAGCCAGGGCAGCCATCTGTGCCCGCTGGATGTGCGCGCTCTCAGGCTCCGCTCCCTCCTCCGAGGGCACCGGGGCTGGATCCTGCCCACGGCCCCGGGCCGGGGTGCTGGCAGGGGGCTGCCCCGGGGGCTGCGAGGGCTGCGCCGGGGGGGATGTGGAGCGTGGTGGCGGCTGCTGCTGCTCCTGCTGCCGCGCTTCCAGCGCCTGCTGCAGCCGTGCGCGCTGCTGCCGCTGCAGGTTCTCCATCACCGCCTGCAGCTTCATGGCTCTGCCGGCGGGTGGGGGGTCCCCGGGGGGGCGGGGGGCGATGCACCCAGGGGGCAGTGCCCGGGGGGCAGCGCCCGGCAGGCTGCCGCGCTCCAGCGGGGCTGGGGGCCAAAGCTGGGCAGTGCCGGGGGAGGGCAGCCCTGGAGGGGGCTGCCGAGGGGTGAGGGCAGTGCCGTCGGGGTGTCAGGGCAGGAATTGACACCTGGTCAGGAAAGAGGAACGTGCCCCTTGACCCCGCTCAGGCTTGGCCCGACGTCTCCTTGGCTTGAGGGCTACGGCGTGTCGCAGGCTCGGTGCTGCTTGTTGGGATTGGGGTGCTGCTGTTGTCAGGGGGAGTGTCCCAGGCAGGCTCCAGAACTCCTCCTCGGGCTCAGCAGGCAGCAGCTGCAGCACGGTGCATCACCCCTTCCCTTGCAGACCTGGCACTTTCCAGGGGTGGCAGCCTCAGAGTCCCCTGCTCACGGCCAGTGTCTCTAATCCTCAGCCGGGTCGGTGTCCGGCAGGCGTCGGCGCAAACCTGTGGGAGAAGTAGAGCAGAGGGTCAGTGGAACTGTGGGCAGGAGCTGGTGAGCAGGAAGGAGTTAAAGACAGCACAGGAGCCTCATTAATCTCGAGCTAATGAGATAGGGCGGCCGGGCCTGCTGCTGGAGGGGGAAGGGGCCTGCCAGACCCGATAGCCCTGCCCGGCCCTGCAGGCAGCGGATACCGCTGGACCCGCACCCGCAGATAACAGACCCTGGGGAGAGACGTCCACCGGGACCCCGACAGGGGACAAGGCACATCCCCACTGGGTACATACGGCATGGGGAGGGACCACTGAGCCCATCGTGATGGCACTGGGGTGTGGGCAGCACTGGGGGTCTGCACGGCACAGTGGAGGGGCCCCAAAGCACCCCAGGGCAGATCCCGGGGGATGGACAGGCAGAGCCTTGAAACCCTGGCAAACAGGCTCTGCCAACTGCCCCCAGAGCCCCCTTGTTCCCCTTCCCTGAGGGCCTTCCGAGGTAACGTGAGGCTGCAAGCAACTCATCTCCGCTTTGCTCCACTGGAGAACACCGATGGGATCAGCACATTACAGCTGGGCCCTGCGGAACCCCCATGCCCCAGCACTCTGGTCTGGACCCCTTCTATCACTGATCTCCCAAGACCTGAGGTGGCCAGCAGCCACAGAGGCCGGCCAGCTCCCAGCTGTGACCTCGCCTGCGCTGAGGGCAGGGAAGGAGCTCACAGCAGCACCGCGTTGGTGCCGTGTACAGGCAAACCCGGTTTCAGCTGCCCGCACACGCCAGGACCCTCCCGGGGACTGAGCGTGGGGCCGGACCCAGGGGCTGCGGGGCCAGGACAGCCGGCGGCGCGCAGGGGCCGGCAGCTACGCCACGATCCCGCGCATTCTGGAAAGAGGAACCTGCTGCCAGTGTGGGCTGGGGCCGCGGATGATCGGGCGGGAGCCGCTTCCCCCCCGCCTCGCCGTGGCTACATCTGCTCCCGGCCCGGCCGGGCTCGGCTCACGCTATGGACGGACACGTCGCCACCGCCTCCACCGGGAACCGGCAGGGGCGCGGCACAAGCGGGCCAGCACTGCCCGTGCCTCAGTTTCCTCTCCTCTACCCTGCTCATCGCCGTCTCGCCCCCACGGAGGAGAAATCGCGGCAGAGACGCTCCCCGTCCCGGAGCAGCCGCTCACCCGCCGTGGCCGCGCTCCTGCCCGGCACCGCACCTGAACCCCGTCCCCTGCGCCGTCCACGAGCGAACCGGAGCGAGACCGAGCCGGGCACGTGCTCCTCGCCGCCGCCGTGGCTCTGCCTGGCCACGACTCCCCGAGTGACTCGGTGCCAGCACCAGGTGTGGAACTGCCTCTTCGGGCACCGCGGGCCGTGGCAGCGCCGGAGCCACGCTGCCACTTCTCCACAGCGAAACCGGAGTGGTGAGGCCACAGCCAGGGCCCCGTGGCACCCCGGCCCGGCGGCCACGGTGACCTTGAGCAGTGCCCCTTTGTCCCTCCGGCCGCTCGGGGCCACGGGGCCCGGTGCGTCCCCGCCGTGGGGCGGTGACGGGGGTCCCGCGAGGGATTCGGGGCGGCGTCACCCGCGTCCCCGGGGCAGGTGCTCGGGAGCGACAGCGGCTAAAAATAGGCAGCGGGGGTGTGACGGACGGGCCTTTGTGCCACCGACACCGGGGTTGGGCTGGCCGCGGCCGGACACCCCCAGGCGGGCTCCCGGCACTGCCGAGAAGGGCTCTGGGGGTATCGTGGAGGCTGAATGAGGAAGAAGAGGAGGACAGGCAGGCCGGGCCCGGTGGGTGCCGTCCCCAGGGACGGACGGGGCTGGGGAACCCCAGGCGGACAGAAGTCCCGTCCCCGAAACCGAGCCCAGCCCCGCTCCCGGCGGCACGTGGCACCGGCGGCCCTCAGTTCTAAGAAACGGGCACGGAGGCGGCGGGGCCCGAATGGGCCCTGGTCCCGCGAACGGGGGGAAACGGCCGCCCCCGACATGGAGAGGCGAGCCTGGGTCGGCCCGACCTGGCCACCATCCGGACCCCGGGAGACCGCGGGCCTGGGGGGGGCACAGGGCGGGGCCACGGGGCTCTGCCCGGCCCGGACAGCAGCGCCCGGGGAGAACGGAGAGTCAAGGCCGGGAACGGCCGCGGGGGAGGAACCCCAGCCCCGCGTGGGGGAGGCGGCCGGTAAGCGGCCGCGAGGAGAGGGGGCGCCGCGCTCCCGCCCAGCACCGGCAGCGAAGGGCACAGCCCACCTCGGAGAGGCGGCCGGTCCTGGGCTCCGGTCCCCGGCCCCGGTCCCGCCCAGCCCCCGACTCCCGGACACGGCCGCGGCGGGGGTCCCGTTCTCGGTGTCGATCCCATCCGCGGGACCGGTGCGGCGGCGCGTCCCCCTTACCCGGTGCAGGCCGTGCGCCGCGAAGCCGCATAGCAGCCGCGGCCGCCCGGGGTCGGGCTCGGCGGGGCCGGTGCGCGCGGGGCCCGCGGCGCTGCTCTCCCCGCGGGCGGGCGGGCGGCGGGCGGGCGGCGGGACCCGGCTCCGCCCCGCGCCGCCCCGCCCCGCGCTCTCATTGGCCCGCCGAGGGCAGAGCGCCCCGCCCCTCCCCGCCCCGCGCTCTCATTGGCCCGGCGCTCCCGGAGCGCCCCGCCCCCCGCCGCCATTGGTCCGCATGCAAATGTTACGCGCGGCGGGGCCGCGGGGCCGGGCGGGGGCGCGGCCGCAGCGCCGCCTCGCGGATGGGCGGGGGAACGGCGCCGTGCGGGGCGCGGGCCCCGGTAGAGCCGCGAAGGGGGGCGGTTAACGAGGGGCAACGGGGCGGGGGGGTTTAACGGTGGTTAATGAGGCTTTAACGGGGTTTAACTGGAGGTTCACGGGGAATAACGGGGGAGGTCACGGGGTACAGCGGGAATTCACGCGGGGTTCATGGGGTCCGGCAGCCGTCGAGCTCCGGTTCCGGGGGCTCCTCGAAGCACCCGCTGTGCCCCACCGGCCGCGACGCCCGGGGCGGGGCTCCCGTTCCCCCGCCCCCGTGACGTCACTTCCCGCGGGCGG